GTGCTATAATCAGCAGTCAAACCAAGGAGGTTCCATTTCATCAAAAACAGGTAGGTGATAATCGCTCTGGGAGACAAGTGATGGTAACAGTCAAGTAAGATAGCTGATAATGGCTGCATTTCACGTGGAGTTCCTTAAGTGAGTCCACCAGGGTCTGCCTCAGAAATTCTTAACACTACCTTCAGGATCGGCCTTTAACATAAAGGGCATGAGCAGAGCAACAGAAAAGCTAAAAAGCTAGCAGGTGGTCATAGTTGTGGTTAATAAACCTGAAGCTGTATTTGAGGTTAATGTTAGGTCATCTTAATGCAACAAGATTCTTAAGTATAAAATTATTCAGCAGAATATTGGAGATACTACCATTTAGTAGAATCTGCTCCGCTGGGCAATTTCCAACCACTATAAATGTTGGGAGATATTCAATAGCAATGCATAGGTCTGCTACCACTGCATAAATATCTCAGAGGTGGAAAGGTGCTAGGAATACAGCTCAGAGACCAGCAGTTTCTAGATAAATAACTCAACGGTTGGCAGCTCATAGGCCTGTAACTTGGATATCGGCAATTTCTTATTAAATAGCTTTGGGGTTGGAAGGTGCTGGCAGCATAGCATGGTGTCGAGAAGCTGTTGGATATGAAGCCAAGATTTTGGTAGCTTCTATACCCGAAACTACGCACATTGCAGTGATTGAGGGGTCGGAGCCTCTTGGAGAAGCAATTAAGTTGCCCAAAGCAGTTGGAGCCATTGTAGAGGGTCTGGCAGGCTTTGGTTGCACATTGAGTGGGTGTGCAGCAATTGGATACATACCCCTTAGTCTGCGAATATGGGCTACAGTTGACGCTGGGTCTGATATCAGTAGTTTCACAGCCACTGACAACTTGGCCCACAGATGGCAGGATGCAGGGCACACAGGAGTTCGATGGGTCACAACTCGTAGTGCAGGTCTTGGTTTCACAGCTGGGAGATTCACAGCTTGGCGGTTCACAGTAGGATTCTTGGCAGTGATCCAGGAGCCAGAGATTTCCTTGATAGCTACTGGGTAAGCAGTGTCCAAAGGTAGGGCTTACATCATTGGAGCAGAGAGCAACAGGTTGAGTCACTGGGAAGTAACAGTGAGTTCTGTAGGATGTGGCCCTGCAAACCCCAGGATATCCCAGATGAGACATGGATCCTGAGTGCATGCTCAATGGCAGCTGTGCAGGAATGGTGTGGCTGTGGTCTGAGGACCTTTTATATCTTCCCAGGCAATTGTCAGGAGCCTCTCCAGACTCTCTTCCTTCTCTCTTCCAGGAACCATAACACAGCAACATCTCATTAGTGTGTTGTCTAGCCACACCTGCTGATATCTTTACACACATGAAGAAATAAGTTTATTTTTATTCTTCAAAATATCTTTAATTGCCACTTTACCCATCGCCCATCAATTATTATCTGTAGACCATAGCTTCAGTCAATAGTGATTTTAATGTTAGAAGGCAAACTCTGTTAATCAGCAGTTAACAAGAGGTCATGTGTCTATGGGCTTCTACAGCATGGTTATTAAAAAGTTAATAAGGATTCAAGTAAAGCAAGGAACCTGTACTTTTTGATTCTTTTAGCTATTGAAAAATGCTGTAGGACTTGATTCTACACTCTGAAATAAGCCACATAATTTAGCTGTATCAATGCTGTTGCTCAAAAGAAAAGGTGAGGCATTGACCTATTAAGAGGAAGAATTGGTTCTTCTCAGTATGTGCTATACTTTTACATTTTCCAGGCCATACCCTGGCGACAACTTCTCATCTAATGTGTTTGCAGAATTCCATAAGTAATACTCACAGCAATCCCAGTGAGCCTTGGTGACCTACGCCAGGCTAAAAATGAACTTGTCCCCATGGGTCAGTAGTTGCTAAGCAACCAAGAGACTTCTATGAAGTTCTGTTCTTACAGCATTTCTGCAATATGTAGTATCAAAGAAACCCAGTTTCTCAAGATATTACCTTCCTAAAAGACCAAGATTAAACATTACCAATTTATTCTATTCTTTCTGCTAGAAAGACCAATTGTTGTCAAATGTATATTATTTTTCCCAAATAAATTTTTATTTATTCTTGACATATATTTGCGCTTAGGTTTTGTTTCATTCCTGTGTTTAAGAATAAAGTTATTTTTGGTCTATGCCAACAAAAGGGAACAACAATGTTTAAAACTTTTATTTGAATAACCTATATAACTTTTATAGGCACTGTACATAGTAAATAGCACTTTTTATTCTTTATCTAAAGGCTAAAGGATATTTTAAAATATTTCAATTTAAGCTGAAAATTTGATATTTTAGTTCTTAAAAATATACATTGCACTTAATTTTTGCAGTCTGCATTGAATTACTGACAGATGTGAGTTCAGATAGAGGACAGTACTGACTTCTGTAGGTAAAATCAGCTCTAGGGATTGTCATTATAGGAGACTACTAGATTTCCTTTGCTATTCTCTGCTTTTCAGCTAGATTTTAAAAGTGCATACCAATTTAAACCTACAAATATTCTCCAAACATTTTCTTAAATCTGAATTTTCTTAACATATCTCTCAGTATTTATTTGTAAAATGACAATAAGCAAATCTCTATTAAATATGTCTTACTTTATCTACTTTCACCCTTTTCAGGTGAAAAGGGTCAGACACAGGGATCCATATTGTTAGTCAATTTTTTAGCTATGGAAAAGCCCTACAAATTTGGGCAGAAATATTCAATCCTGAGGCAGGTAGACTAGCAAGAAGACAAGGCAGTTGACAGCCAACTTTCTTCTAAGCTACTGTCCCCTAGTGATACATAGAATAGTTCTGAGATGAATGTAGCCTCTTTTTTGCATCCCTCTATCACACCTCTGGTACCTCTAGTCTTATAGTTTAGGCGTCCTATAGTAAGCAGTTTTGAGGGAAAACAGCAACAGAATAGATAATTCAGCTTTAAAACCCACATCCTCCCCTTCCTTCTTAGTACTAATCGGTAAAATATTTTAAATGAATGGTATTCATGAAAGTGTAAGTCCAAGAAAATAATGTAAAAATTCACACAATTGATGAAAGCTTAAGACTTTACAACATACTTAAGTTTATTTTCAGTATGATAATATTCTAAACAAACATTGAGAATTGCAGAGGCCATGGAGTTAGCTCAACTCTTTTCATTTGCTTTTATGGTTTATTTTCTTATCCACTCAGATAAGATGTGCATAGTTACCCATCACTGCCCACCCCCATTCTCTTCACCATTCTCTGTAAGTGACATCTCTACAGAATTCTGTTCTACTTTATTCTCCATCTTTGACAACGCCTGAGTAGACCACATCAGTGACAGAGCACATGTAAGGTTGGTAACAATAACAGGCTTCAGCAAAAAGTAAGGGTCTTTGTCCTGTGGGTGATGTTGTCTTCTACAGATTTTGGAGAAGCATATGTATTAACCTATATTTTCATTTAATTATTGACAGGCTCTTTTCTTCTATGAATTCTATGAATTCAGTATTTGCTATTCATGGAAGTCTCAGTAGTGTCTTGCCCCCAAATCAACCAAGATATCATCTCCTAATATAAAAGGACTTCAAAAGTTCTTGAAAATTTGAATTAAAGTATAAGCTTCAGTATAAAGATTTTTTTAATCTATGTATAGGTTTTTTATAATACACATTTTAAAACATTTTATTTAAATTTATTTATTTATTTTTTAATTTGACCAGAGAGGGACAGAGTAAGAGAGAGGGAAAGTGAGAAAGCAAGCCGCCAGGTCCAGGACTCAAACTATGGTTGACCATGTCAGAATCCAGGGCCCTTAACCACCAGGCCACCTGCCAGTCTCTGTAATACACATTTTATATAAACTTTTTGGAGATCTCTCAGTCTGGGAATCTGTGAATACCACTTGACTTGGGAAAAGGGGCTTTGTGAGGGTGATTAAACTAAGGATCTTGAGATGAATTATCTGGGTGTGCCTGGTGTATTCACAGTGGTCCTCATAAAGAAATAGTAAGCAGATCAGAGAGCAAGAAGGAATGTGATGACAAAAGCAGAGTTGGAGTACGTGGCCCAAGTGAAGGAATGGCAGCAATCTCAGATTTGACCAGAGAGGGACAGAGTAAGAGAGAGGGAAAGTGAGAAAGCAAGCCGCCAGGTCCAGGACTCAAACCATGGTTGACCATGTCAGAATCCAGGGCCCTTAACCACCAGGCCACCTGCCAGTCCCTGTAATACACATTTTATATAAACTTTTTGGAGATCTCTCAGTCTGGGAATCTGTGAATACCACTTGACTTGGGAAAAGGGGCTTTGTGAGGGTGATTAAACTAAGGATCTTGAGATGAATTATCTGGGTGTGCCTGGTGTATTCACAGTGGTCCTCATAAAGAAATAGTAAGCAGATCAGAGAGCAAGAAGGAATGTGATGACAAAAGCAGAGTTGGAGTACGTGGCCCAAGTGAAGGAATGGCAGCAATCTCAGAAAGTGGAAGAGGCAGCGAACCGTTTTCCCCTAGAGTCCAGATGGAATGAGCCTGTGGACACCTCAAGTTTAGAGCAGAAGAACTAGTTTCTGGGGTTTTGGCATCCAGAATGGTAAGAAAATGAAGTCCTGTTGTTCTAAGCTGTGGAGTTTGTGATAATTTGTTATAGCTGTCAGAAGAAATAAATATACTATGTCAGAAAATTGTAATTAATAGATAGTTTTTATGCAGTTTGAGGAGTTTGTGCTCTGTATCTAGGGAAAGTTTAAGATGTAAGGGATAAGCTTTCTAGCCAAAAGATAATTCAGAGAAATAAGAAACAAACTCCCTTTATCTAATGAGCAAGCAGATTCCTTTCAACTCATTAAAAAAGAGTTATGAAACTATTTCTCGATTTTACCCAAAGGTTAAAAATCCTTTAGGGTAAACATAGAAGATTAAAGAAAGCTAAATTTTCCAGGAAGTGGCTCTTAAAGAAAATAATGGAGGACACCTTCTAGCCTTTTAGGTCACAAAAAATTTTATCTTCTTTGGTGACACTATATATATATATATATATATGTATATATATATATATATATAATCGTATTTATGTTGTTGGCTTAATAGATCATTGATAGTTTCAAAAGCTGAAGGGCAGAGGAACAAAATTAAAATTTTTGAAAACAGAAATAAATGAAAATAAAATATTTTTAAAAATGATAACATGCATTAAAGGAAAGATAGGAATTAGAGTTTGACTCATGCTTAACTTTTCAGGGACACATATGTAATGAGATACAGCTGTAATCAGAGTTAACATTTTGAGATAGAGCTGTCGTGACTGTATCTTAATGAGATATAAATCACTCTTTTGCCAAGTATCATTTAAACAATCTATTTGTCTTAGTCTTTCATATAGTTAAGAAGAGTGTGTTGTTTGACATCAGATCACTCATGACTCTTGTATAAGCCATATTCTTCTGTGTCACATATTACTAGATGGAAGGTTGCATAGGTAATATTGAGAATAAGGATTTACTATTCAGATTTCTGGGACTCTAATCCTATCTCTGGTGCTCGACTAAGCACAAAATGCTTCTGGAACTGAATTGTCACATCTTCAAAATGGAACTAACGGTAGTTCTCATTGGTAGCTTTTGTTTTTCCCTAAGTGGCTATGAATTAGTCATGTACAGGGAAATAGCACGGAATTGATGTTTGATGTCAACTTTTGACATTGTTTTAATCCTATAATCTTTTTTCTTTGTTAGTGTTATTACTATTACTATTATTATATTATTATGGGATCTCATCTAAAACCCATTTTGTCTTCATTAGTACCAGAAAAACTGAAAAGCAAGAAAAGAAAAAAAAAAAAGGAAGGAAGAACGTGGATGTGGTGTATGCTCCTTTAGTCCCAACTATGCATGAGGCTGAGGAAAGAGAATCACTAATTCAGAGTCAACTGGGGCAACATAGCAAGAACCTTTTCTCTAAAAAAATTTTTAAATAAAAATTAGATAATTAAATTAAAAAAAAAGAAAGACAACAAAGAAAGAAGGGGAATGCTTCTGGATAGGCTAAGCTTTAGAGGAAATGACTTGTTATGATCTACATAAGTTGATCTTATAAATTTAATTTGGGATGGGACTAGTAGATGGCATAGCAGTTATGTTGCTGGACTCCCACATAATAGACCACAGTTTGAGTCCCAGACCTGGCAG